CTGCCTCTCCACAGTCACCAACCACCTGACAGCAGCCTTCCCTGTGCACCAATGAGGACATGCAAGATGTGCGCGCTCTCAAGGCCTCCCCCAAAAGTAGCATCGCATTTGCAGGACTTGGCAGGCAGAAAGTAGGGGTTAGAGGACGTGGCTCATGGTAGTGCTCACGGGTACACCATCTGTATAGACGTGTAACCTATATTGCTGGTCCCAGGTTCCCAAAGGAAGGACGACCTCCTCCAAACTACTGGGTGGTAAGTGGATTGCATATTCAGGGCGCCCAAACCGAGGTGCAGGAGCCAGAATGGCCTGTTTCCATCCCAAATAGAGGCAAGAAGCCTAGGACATGCAGTGAGGCCAGAAAAGGGACAAGAGTGCAAGCAGCTTCAAAGCCAGGAATTACCACTAAGCCCAAACTGGAGCTGTCAACCCTGCTGTCTGATATGCTAAAAAAACCCCAACCTTTTAAAAAGTCTGACTCTCCAGAGCTAGAGTAGTTCATATTTTGTACTTGTGGAAAAAAAAAAGGCTGCTTCTAGGTCTCGGAAAAATGCACTAGATTGTTTATTCTGTTCCAGAGTAAATCTTCCGTAGCAGCCTTTTGGGTGTATTTATTATCCATTTACAGTAGCACAGTGAGTCCACAGTATGAAAGGTTAGCCCTGAAACAGACTGAAGTGCTGGCAAAACGTTATCACAAAGCATGACCGATAAGGGCTGCATATGGACGTATCTGATAACACTCTAGACAAACTCTGCTTTCACTACAGACATCATAAAACCGAAGGCACTGAGGGACTTTTCCAGTCTCACATCCTCCTTAGCTTCTGTAATGCACAAGCAGCTGTAAAATCAATTAGCTCTGGAGGAAATGTAGGTTCTCCATATCCTAAATATTACCAAAAAAAAAACAAAACCCCAAGTAAAATAAGTGCGTACTTGTCTTTGACAGCTGCAAGATTGATTTGGCCTCGGAGGAACTCTAGGACCCTTCCTAAGTTACATTTCGGCAGCCATCAGACATGCAATGTCACTAAACAGAGGAGTGTCTTGGAGCTGCAGGAAGTTATATTGTGCCACACAAGTAGCACATACGGCTCCTCGAGGCAGGAAGGCACTAGTCACAGTCAAAACACGTACTACTCCAGGGTTAGCAGGAATTCATTCCCTTGAGCACTGGTTTTCAGTGCGACTAAAAGCTAGTTCCTCACTCTCTGTCTCTCTCTCATACCGGCTCTTTCTGAAATGCTATATAAAGCTCCTCCAAAACCGGTGGCTCTCATAAAAATCAAGGTTCTCCATGAAATGCTGTTAGGCAAGTCCAGTTGCACAACTACTGCTAATCAACAACACATTGTTTTCAGACAATTACATATCAAATGGATTCTCCTCGTAGCATCGGGAGCAGAACGGGAGGGCAAATCATTGTCCCCTCCGTGTCGTTGCTGCTGGGAAATAGCATCCTAAAAGTCTTCTCAACCCCAACTTCTTTTATAGCTGTAAAAATGGACATACTCTATCTGCGGCATAAGCAGCAACTGCCACGGATCATTTTGCTGAGGTCATCTCACTTAGAAATATTTTAAATCTGGCTCGTAGAAATTGAACAAATTACCTCCGAATTACATCAGTGCCCTGGAGGATCCAACAAGCATGCGTTTGAATGTTGTCATGGCTGCTGACATGGAAAAACAACCAAAATATACTCATAAATATGCATAAATGCTAACAACCTTTTGAAGATCGTGGGATCCTTATGCTCTGCTACGTTATGCTCTGAGCACTCACGACACAAGCAGACTGGCCAGATGACCTCCATGACACATGTGTAACTCTGAAGGCCCTCAACTGGCTCAGTAGAGTTGCCCTGAACTTGAGATGGTCACTGCTGAGGCTGCAACTCATGAAGGCATGGCCATAGCTAGCTTTAAATGAGCAAGGCTTGGTGCCAATAGCACAGAATTCAGTTCAGGCTACAATCAAAGAAACTAAATAAATACTAAGAGAGAGAGAGCTCACACTAAGCCCAGTGCTACTGGGGTCACACGGCTGAAAGTACATGAGTTAGTTGGTATATGAGTCGCTGTGTAGATGTATGTAGATCCTGCCTGACTAACCTTGTTTCTTTTTATGACCACGTCACAAAATGCTTAGACACAGGAGTCGAGGTAGATGTCATCTACCTAGGCTTTAAGAAGGCCTTCAATACGGTATCTCATTCTGTTCTCATAAATAAACTGACAGGCTGTGATGTAGATGATTACACGGTCAGGTGGGTGGCAAATTGGCTTAGGGGTCACACCCACAGAGTGGTGGTGGATGGGTCAATATTGACCTGGAAAGATGTGGGCAGTGGAGTACCACAAGGCTCAGTCCTTGGACCGGTGCTATTCAATGTCTTCATCAGTGATTTGGATGAGGGCATGGAAAGCAGCCTATCCAAGTTGGCAGATGATACCAAATTATGGAGCAAAGTTAACACAGCATAGGGTGGGGAATGGATCCAGGTAGATCTGGACAGGTTGGAAAAATGGGCAGAACAAAATAGGATGCAGTTCAACAAAGACAAGTGCAAAGTGCTGCACCTGGGGAGAGGGAATCACCAACACACTTCCAGGCTGGGGGATGATTTTCTCAGCAGCACAGTAATGGAAAGGGATCTTGGAGTCATAGTTGACTCCAAGATAAGCATGAGTCGTCGATGCGATGAAGTGATCAACAAGGCTAACCGCTTTTCATCATGCATTAGCAGGTGCATGACGAACAGGTCCAGGGAGGTGATGCTCCCCCTCTATGCAGCACTGGTCAGGCGATAGTTGGAGCACTGCATCCAGTTTTGGGTGCCGCACTTCAAGAGGGATGCGGAGCATCTGGAGAGGGTTCAGAGGAGGCCACTCATATAGTCAGAGACCTGCGGGCAAGGCCCTACGAGGAGAGACTGAGGGACCTGGCTCTCTTCAGCCTTCGCAAGAGAAGGCTGAGAGGTGATCTTGTGGCTGCCTATAAATTCATCAGGGGAGGGCAGCGGGGAACAGGAGATGCTCTATTTACTAGGGCACCCCCTGCAGTAACCAGGAACAATGGCCACAAATTGACGGAGAGCAGACTTAGGTTGGACATTAGGAAGAACTTCTTCACAGAAAGGGTTGCCAGACTCTGGAACGGGCTCCAAGGGAGGTGGTGCCCTCCCCTACCTGGGGGTCTTCAAGTGGAGGCTGGACAAGCACCTAGCCGGGGTCATCTGACCCCAGCGCTCTTTCCTGCCCAGGGCAGGGGGTCCGACTCAATGCCCTACTGAGGTCCCTTCCAACCCAACATCTATGAATCTATATCCTAAGGAAAAAAATACAAACAGCAATGATGGCATGATTACATCCACTTTAAGAAGTCTTAGAAAGGATGTGGGGACTGATTCCGATGGAATAAGAATGAAACCACGTCTTCCTTGAATTTGGGAAAAGCTACTGGTTCTCTCTTATTTTTTCAAATTATTTCTCATCTCCACATGCCAATCCATTTCCTAATTCTTGTGCAGACGTGCTATGGGAAAACCAGTTCTCACAGCGTTTGCAAAAACAGGAAGTATGTGAATATTCAAGAGAGACCCTATTTTTGCGAGAGGTCCCGCTGAGTTTTGCTGACTCAAGAGGCCTAGGCTAAAATTTAAATAAGCAACTTTTCAGGGACTGAACCCAAGCTTTGGGTTTTCAGATTGCTTCTCTGCACTCGTTTTCCAAGCAAGCCTCCAGATGCAAAATGTTAAACCCCTTTCCCTCCGAAGGAAATCAAGTCAAGGACCCGCATGGAGCAGTAGTTCTCATCAAGGGGAGAAAATGTTTTCTTGATCTCAAAAGCAAATCGGCCCATATCTTGAGGTCCTCGCTAAAGCAAAACTCCTCGCGAGGCTCCCCGCCGTCGTCCCATGGTCAGAAAAGGATTGAGTTATGTTGAAGGGATTTTGCCTGACACTATTTGAAGCTGTCAAGAATGCTTCACTCCTCTCCGTCCTGACGTTAAACAGGCCCCGGGATGTCAAAAGCCGTCAGTCGAGAACGGGATGTTTACTTCTGTTCATTACGAGGTAGAGATTTGTTATCCACTTGGCATCCTCTCTGAGGAGCGCGAGGGTATGGCGTTCACTCACATCGGTTGTCAGGGCGGCTCAGCTGGGTTTCCTCAACCTTTCCGAGCGTCTTCTTTGGAGGCTACCCCAAGCAGGTGCCTGATGGTCAGTGGACAGCCGGGGGGCATGGCAATGCAGCCGCTGTGACGAAAACCTGACGGAGCCGCAAGCACGGGACCCAGGGCTGCGTGTTTGATTCCCAGATGCTAATTGAGGCTTTGGGGAGGATGGGAAGGAGCCAGCCCTGTGGAAAACAACCGGCTTTTTGAAGAATAAGGTGAAAGAACCTTTCTGTGGTTTAAATTCTTGACGCTAATTTTAACAACTATTTCAACCCCTTGCAAATTGCCACTCTGAAAAAATAAACAGGGCCTACATTGAACCACCGGCCTGGCACACGGGTCTTTTTTCAGCCGCGTCTTGGAATGTCTAACAGTAGCCAGGCTTATTCATGTGTGGAAAAGAGAAGGAGAGAGCCGCTGAGCGAGAGAGGGGAAGAAAGTGAGGGCCACTTCAGGCTAATTGGCCTTCCTTTTGGATTGGGTTGCTGACATATGGTTTTAAGTTACATGTAAGCAAGTGAAATGGTATATAAATAATAGCAGGGGGAGAGCTACAGTGGAAAAGCCAGCCAGTGTCTGTCTGACTTGATGTTCTGTTATTCATCAAGTCCTAGTGTGGTTTGTGTCATTTGGGGCTCGTTTGCCTTAGCTGAGAGCCAGATAGCTCTCCTCCGAGAATGCCCACAGCCAAGTCACTTGTGACTGATCATTGGTAGTTTTATCGTTTCAGATGGGGATTTCCATTTCAAGGAAATCCAGAGGCTAGGGAGATCCATTTTAAATCCAGTTTAAAACCCCTGCTATATCACTTCAGCATGGAAAGGGTCGCACACTGCCCCAGCACTGCCAGGCTCTCCAGATGTGACCGTCCCAGTCGGCTCCACTCCTCATCGGGAAGGACCCGCCTGCGAATAGTTCAGCCTTGGGGGGGTAAGGACCCACCTGCCAATAGTTCAGCCTCGGTGATCGGGAAGGCCCCGCCTGCCAAAAATTCAGCCTTGGTGATCGGGAAGCCCCCGCCTGCCAAAAATTCAGCCTTGGTGATCGGGAAGCCCCCGCCTGCCAAAAATTCAGCCTTGGTGATCGGGAAGCCCCCGCCTGCCAAAAATTCAGCCTTGGTGATCGGGAAGCCCCCGCCTGCCAAAAATTCAGCCTTGGTGATCGGGAAGCCCCCGCCTGCCAAAAATTCAGCCTTGGTGATCGGGAAGCCCCCGCCTGCCAAAAATTCAGCCTTGGTGATCGGGAAGCCCCCGCCTGCCAAAAATTCAGCCTTGGTGATCGGGAAGCCCCCGCCTGCCAAAAATTCAGCCTTGGTGATCGGGAAGCCCCCGCCTGCCAAAAATTCAGCCTTGGTGATCGGGAAGCCCCCGCCTGCCAAAAATTCAGCCTTGGTGATCGGGAAGCCCCCGCCTGCCAAAAATTCAGCCTTGGTGATCGGGAAGCCCCCGCCTGCCAAAAATTCAGCCTTGGTGATCGGGAAGCCCCCGCCTGCCAAAAATTCAGCCTTGGTGATCGGGAAGCCCCCGCCTGCCAAAAATTCAGCCTTGGTGATCGGGAAGCCCCCGCCTGCCAAAAATTCAGCCTTGGTGATCGGGAAGCCCCCGCCTGCCAAAAATTCAGCCTTGGTGATCGGGAAGCCCCCGCCTGCCAAAAATTCAGCCTTGGTGATCGGGAAGCCCCCGCCTGCCAAAAATTCAGCCTTGGTGATCGGGAAGCCCCCGCCTGCCAAAAATTCAGCCTTGGTGATCGGGAAGCCCCCGCCTGCCAAAAATTCAGCCTTGGTGATCGGGAAGCCCCCGCCTGCCAAAAATTCAGCCTTGGTGATCGGGAAGCCCCCGCCTGCCAAAAATTCAGCCTTGGTGATCGGGAAGCCCCCGCCTGCCAAAAATTCAGCCTTGGTGATCGGGAAGCCCCCGCCTGCCAAAAATTCAGCCTTGGTGATCGGGAAGGCCCCACCTGTCAATAATTCAGTCTCGGTGATCGGGAAGGCCCCACCTGTCAATAATTCAGTCTCGGTATTCATGCCATTCTTGGTGTCCCTACTGAGACCACCCACCTGGCTGCTGGGGGTTAGTTTTGACAATACCTGCCCATTATCTGAAGGAAACCACACACTCATATCACAAAGGCCACCAAGCAGGCCAGAAGGGGGATGAGGACTAGGTGACCTCACTCCTTGAGCCAGGGAGGAGCCATGCAGGCTTTCATGGATAGATAAGGAGCTGCCTCACCTTTTGCAAAGAGGAATTTCCTTTGACTTCACTCATTACCAAAGTTTGAGGCTTTGGGAACTGGCTAACGTGTCTTTGAGTTCACTCATATTGTAAACTCTTTTCCTCCCCTGTTACTTAAATCTAGGTCTTCTTTCAAGGGTGATTCATCTTTAAAAAAAACCCAAAAAACCCAAAAAAACTCATTTTTCCTACCAGAAAGCAAACCTGAATTCTACTATTTCCACTTCACACACACACACACACACACACACACACACACACACACACACACACACACACACACACACACACACACACACACGCTTATACGTTCTGCTCACACCTATATATGAATGTCCATGTCACGGTATTATGCATGGATGGATAACTTTATACATACTATATATCCACCGCTCTGTCTGTTTGCTCATCAGATGAGCAAATAACATTTTTTTTTACCTCTAAATTTATTTTTCATTTTGTTCTCCTCTGCTTGCTTCTTCATCCTATTTTATTCATCCAAGAGATTATCTCTGCCCCTTTTTTCTGTTCCTCCAGAATGAGGGTTTTCTCTGTCTCTCCCAAGTCAAACTTTCAACCCCATTAGGTAAAATAAGTTGTTTGCCTGTTTTGTTTTTCTGTCATCACCCATAGGGGTGCTGAAGTTCGCCATAACCCAGGAATGTGCAAGTTGATGTTTTATCAGTATTTATGGCCTTCAGGTTTGAATTGGGCTCTGTGGAAGAATCTGTTCCTTGGTTATCCGTCAGGACTTCAATTTCTCCTCTTCCATCATGGGCTCTCAGAGGGAATGAAGGGCTCTGAATGCGAATGACGCTTGTTATTTGCCTGGCAAATTAGAAGCAAAAAGCTGAATCAAGCAAGGCATTTAAGAGAGGAAGACATGGTTTACTTTAACACTCCAAGCAGGTCTCAAGATCTGGCA